GGGCTCAGGCAATCCACTCACCTCAGCCTCCCAAAGGCGCGGGATTACAGGCTGAGCCACTGAGCCCGGCTAGTTTTATGACCTTTGAATTAGATCACAGTTCGTTGGTTTTTCTTTTTTAATGATGGAATGATGCTAACCTGAAGCAAATTTGGGATTTCTTAAGTAGTATAATAATTTATCACAGGCATAAAGATATTTTGGAAGAGTATACTCTTAGAGCTTCTTTTCCTTGTCAGTCATGACTGTTGCTGAGGTACCATGTTAGAATCTTCAAGGTCACAGGGCCTGGTAGCTCACCTTGTAATCCCAGCACTTTGGGAGGCTGAGGCAAGAGGTTTGCCTGAGCCCATGGGTTCGAGACCAGCCTGGGCAACTTGGCAAGACCTCATCTCAACGATACATAAAAAAATTAGTTGGGCATAGGATCACGTGCCTGTAGTTCCGGCTACTTGGAAGGCTGAGGTGGAAGGGTCGCCTGAGCCCAGTAGGTCCGAGGCTGCAGTGGCCTGGAGTGTGCTACTACACTCCAGCCAGGGCGACAGAGTGAGAGACTTCAATACAAATAGAGATTGAAGTCTCACTTTTTATCAGGCAGTCTTGAATTTCTCCCACCTTGGCCTCCCAGAATACTGAGATTACAGTGTGAGCCACTGTGTATGACCTAGAAAATAATTCACATTCTTACAACTTTTATCTTTCAGCTCAGCACGTTTGTTACTGCTTCAGCTATGTCCTCATCTAAGTGTAATTAGACACCTTTAAATCAAGAGATAAGAAAGCTTTGTGGGTTTTTTGGTTATATATTTTTTCTCTGAATAAACCTCTAGTTTTTAGCATAACTCTGATATGTCATGTTTTCCCTTTAATTTTTCTTTAGTAAATAGTTAAGAATATACTTTTTTTTTTTTTTGAGTTGGAGTCCCCACTCACCCAGGGTGAAGGGCAGTAGCATGCTACAGCTACCCCAGCATTGACCTGCTAGGCTTCGATGATCCTTCTGCCTTAGCCTTTCAAGTAGCCATAAATACAGGTATGTGCTACTGCACATGGCTAATTTTTTATTTTATTGTAGAGACGTGGTCTTGCCAAGTTGCCCAGGCTGGTCTCGAACCCTTGGGCTCAGGCAGTTCACATGCCTTGACCTCCCAAAATGCTGGGATTATAGGCTGAGCCGCTGAGCCTGGCCAAGAGTATAAAATTTAAGTATACATACAACTTGATGAATTGTTGTTTACCCTTCTAACCACCACCCAGATCAAGATATAGAACATCAGCACCATCAGGCCTGCTTGCATCTTTCTGGTCACCATCCCCCACATGAAAGAGAAAAATCACTATCCTGACTTACATTACTATAGATTTACTTTCTTATATTACCATAGAATGGTTTTGCTTAGGAGTCAGAGTCTTCTGTTGCCAGACTGTAGTGCAGTGGCACACTCATAGTTAGCATAGCCTCAACCTATTGGGCTCAGGCGATCCTTCCACCTCAGCCTCCCAAGTTGCTGGAACTGCAGGTGTGCCACCATGCCTGGCTAATTTTTTGATATTTTTGTAGAAACAGAGTCTTGCCAAGTTGCCTAGACTGGTCTTGAACCCCTGGGCTCAGGCACTCTTCCCTCATAGGCCTCCTAAAGTACTGAGATTATTATAGGTGTGAGCCATTGTGCATGACCTTTTTTTTTGAGTTAGGGGGTCTTACTCTGTTGCCCATGCTGGAGTACAGTGGCACAATTACAGCTCACTGCTGCCTTGACCTCCTGGGCTCAGGTGAGCCATCCACCCCAGTCTTCTGAGTAGCTGGGACTATGGGTGTATGCCACCATGCCCAGCTAATTTTGAAGTTTTGTAGAGATGAGTTCTTGGTATGTTGTCTAGACTGGTCTCAAACTCCTGGGCTCAAGTAATCCTTCTGCCTTGGCTTCCCCAATTGCTGGGATTATATGTGTGAGCCACCATGCCCGACCTAGCTCTAAACTTTATATTCTTGGAGTAATATAGCATGTGCTTTTAATATCATGATTTTGTTGCCCAACTCATCCTTTTGTGTATGTTTATTTTTCATTGCTGCATAGTATTCTGCTGTTTGCATATGTCATAATTTATCCATTTTATAGTTGATAGACATTTAGATTGTTTCTAGTTTGGGTTTATCATGGATATTATTTCTGTACATGCTTTTTTTTTTTTTTTTTTGAGTTAGAGTCTCACTCTGTCACCAGACTGGAGTGCAGTGGCACGCTCCTGGCCACTGCAGCCTCGACCTGCTGGGCTCCGGCGATCCTTCCGCCTCAGCCTTCCAAGTAGCTGGAACTACAGGCGCATGCTACCACGCCTGGCTAGTTTTTTATTTATTGTAGAGACGAGGTCTCAAAGTTGCCTGGGCTGGTCTCGAACCTGTAGGCTCAGGCAGTCCACTCACCTCAGTCTCCCAAAGTGCTGGAATTACAGGCTGAGCCACTGAACCCGGCCTGTACCTGCCTTTGATGCACATACACATTCATTTCTGTTAAAGTGGAATTCTGGGTTAAAGTGGAAATCAGGGTATGTCTGTTCATTAGCAGTCATGTTTGTCTTATATGTCTAGTTAATCATTTTTGTGTTTTGCTTCTTGTGCAGTTTGCCTGAGAATACAGATCAATCCACAGAACAAAGCGGATTTCCAAGGCATCTCTCCAGAGCGAGCCTTTGCTGATTTTCTCTTTGCCAGCACCATCTTGCACCTTGTTGTCATGAACTTTGTTGGCTGAATCATTCCCATATGCTTAATTGAGGAGTAGGAGACTGGAAGAATGTAAGTGATAATCATAGCCCTTTTTCCATAATGTTGATTTTGGCTAGGGCTGGTTTTGATAATGAAAATAATTGCTGATAAGATGTTTGCAGAATTTTCCATTGGTCTGCAAAGTGTGCATTAATATCATCATGGTTCATCAGTTCTACCACTCTTGGTCTTTGTCTTGTCTTCTCAGTCTTCTGCAAATCATTAGGATAACAGAAAATGAGTGTTTGCCTGTATAGTACAATAATTTCTGTACCAGTGACTTCATGAAAATAACTGAGAGATTTTTGGAAGAGACATAAATTGTAGGTTTTGCCTTTAGATTTGTTATTTATTTTCTGATTTTGGTTTTAGATGACTTTATTTTTATTTTTTTGAGTCAGAGTCTCACTCTGTCTCCTAGGCTGCAGGGCAGTGGCACACTTATGGCCACCCCAGCGTCAACCTGTTGGGCTCTGGCAGTCCTTCTACCTCAGCCTTCCAGGTAGCCAGAACTACAGTCGCATGCTACTATGCCTGGCTAATTTTTTTTTAATTATTTTTTTGTAGAGACGAGGTCTCGCCAAGTTGCCTGGGCTAGTCTCAAACCCACAGGAGCATTTAGATGACTTTAAATGCTGAATCATTGTCCTCATTGTACCCAGTATAGCACTTAGGCATATCTGTTAGACATTCAGTGTATGCTGAATGAATGCCAGTGGCCATTTGCTAATGTGTCCTAAAGTAGAAATAAATGGGGAAATTGGGATAGAAGAATTGGGAGAAGACTTTAAAATGTAAGATGGGATGCTGTTTGGGTTAGTTGCCATATTCCCTTTTTTCGCAGTAGGGTTTTTTCCCCCTTTTCCCCAAACCCTTATATAGAATTCTATAAAACAGAGGTAGAGCTGGAGTTGTTTTGATTTGACAGAAAATTGAGAAGCCCTTTCTGCTTGGCCTCTCCATTACTTGTGATAACCCTCTCCATCTCTCCCTCCCAAGCAGAGTCCTGAAGCTCTAGTAAATATTTGAGTGTTTTCCAAACTGTGTATCAACACTGTTACTTTATGCATAAGCAAATGGACCCAGAACAATCTAGTGACTTGCTGGCTACACAGCTAAGTGTTTGCAGGGTAGTGCCTTAGTATGGTGGTGCTCTTGGCCCAATGCGCCTTCTGATTCCAGCTTACTGATGAATGCATGCACTGTTTGCTTTGCTTTTGTATTGCAAAATTTAATGTTGCTATTTCTAGGTGGTAGAGAAAAGAGAATTTTTTTTTTGAGTTGGATTCTCATTCTGATGCCCAGGCTAGAGTGCAGTGGCATACTTGTGGCTCATGGCAGCCAGTACTTCCTGGTCTCAGGTGATCCTTCAACCCAGTGCTCCCTCCCCACTCCAAGTAGCGGGCTAATTTTTTTATTTTTATTTTTTTATAGTGTCGAGGTCTCACTTTGTTGCTCAGGCTGGTCTCTATCTTCTGGGCTCAAGCAGTTCTCCCTCCTCAGCCTCCCAAAGTGCTGGGATTATAGGCATCAGCCACCATACCCAGCCAGGAAATGTTATTCTTCTTGAGGGAAGAATATCCCAGGACCAACCTCTTCCTATCACTATGGAAGGCTATCATTTTTGGACTAATCAACAGAAATCTAGCACAAGAAATTTGCACAACTATGTGCAAAACACATGTAATAATGTGATAGTGACAGTATTTCATTTTCTGATATGAATTAGTTATTCACTTACAGTATGTTGCATAAATATTTTTCTTTGATATTGCCTCAAAAACAGTTCTGTTAGTTCAGAACATTAGGGTTTCATTTTTGGTAGTGGTAAGTTGGCAGAGTGGTTTATTTCAGTAAAAATGTTTGGAAATCACTGTGTTCTATTACTTTAATACAGCTTAACTTTCCAGCCTGGGCAACAGAGTGAGACTGCAACTCAAAACAAAACAAAACAAAACAAAAAAAACTCCTTGGAGATCTGATAAAGACTTGGGTTGTCCTCCATCCCTATTATGTGCTAGTCAATGCCTTCCTACTGGAATATAAACAAAAGTAAAATGGGGCTCCTGCCTTCAATTGTACAACCTAGTAGGGGAGAACACATGTAAACATAACAGTTAAAATATAGTAAGCACAGTTAGAGGCTCACTAAAGATTTGAACAAAGTGGTATGAGAGTCCAGAAAATGCAACGATTTTACCGTCTGGGAGCAGGGGCAGCAGATGAGTTATGCTGCCATAACTCATAACAATGGGTAACAGCTATAACCAGTGACCAATGAACTGTTACCAGTGAATAACCTTGAATGCAGCTAGAAAACTGACCCACCAACAATGACCTCCATACCCTTTAAAATATGAATAACTCTAGGGCTTTCTGGTAGAGATTTCTGGGAAGGTTATAAGTCTTTTATTGCATACTCTAGATTTCTGAAGTTCTTTTTTCCTAGATGAGTCATAGTGTATACTTAGGAAGGAGACAGAGTAAACATTTCAAGGATGTTGTCTAGGCTCAGGGAGATACCAAATCATGGAAAATTATTTCCTATGGCTGTCATGATTGGAGGGAGAGATGCTGCAGAGAGCTTAGTATTTCAAAATTATGACAAAAACAGAGACCAAAAAAGCTGTCAGCCGGGCTCAGTGGCTCGGCCTGTAATCCCGTGCCTTGGGAGGCTGAAATGAGTGGATTGCCTGAGCCCGTGGGTTCGAGACCCACCTGGGCAACTTGGTGAGACCTCATCTATACAATAAATCAAAAAATTAAGCCGGGGGCTCGGTGGCTCAGCCTGTAATCCCGCGCCTTGGGAGGCTGAGGTGAGTGGATTGCCTGAGCCCGCGGGTTTGAGACCGCCTGGGCAACTTGGCGAGACCTCATCTCTACAATAAATCAAAAAATTAGCCGGGCGCGCGTGCCTGTAGTTCCAGCTACTGGGAAGACTGAGGCGGAAGGATCGCTGGAGCCCAGCAGGTCGAAGTTGCGGTGGCTGGGAGCGGCCACTACACTCCAGTCTGGGCAACAGAGTGAAACTCCAACTCAAAAAAAAAAAAAAAAAAAAAAGCTATCTCAGCAAAAACTGTACTGTAGACCATATTTACAACCTATGACCACCTGTTTAGCTGGGAATTATGGGCCCAAGGTATACCACAATCTTCAGTCCTAGATCGCAGTGTTAAACCATTCTATAAGAGTGTGTGCTCATAGAAAAATCCTTTCTTGGGTTTGCCCATAGCATTTTTCAGGGTTCCTTCATTTGACATATACTACACTGTCCACTCTCAGTTTTTTCAATATACATTTATTTGCCCCTTTTATGTGCTTCTAACTCAGCTATGTGCCAAAGCACTTTTAAAATAGTTTGAAGTGAGTTTTCAATATTTATAGGAATTTAGAAGCTCCAAAAAAAACCAGATTGGACATTCTTCATATTTTTCTTTTTTTTTTTGAGTTGGAGTCTCACTCTGTCGCCCAGACTGGAGTGCAGTGGCCGCTCCCCGCCACCGCAGCCTCGACCTGCTGGACTCCGGCGATCCTTCCACCTCAGCCTTCCGAGTGGCCGGAATTACAGGCGCGCACTACCACGCCTGGGTAATTTTTTGATTTATTGTAGAGATGAGGTCTTGCCTGCCCAGGTGGGTCTCGAACCCGCGGCTCAAGCAATTCACTCACCTCAGCCTCCTAAAGGCGCGGGTTTACAGGCTGAGCCACCGAGCCCGGCTCTTCATATTTTTCAACTAAGTTGAGAGTTTGGTATGAAAAAGATCTATAATGTAACTGATCTTGCATAAATTTGGGGGTGACATTTAAAACCAGCAGCTACTGTGAAAAAGGCAGATCAAAAGAAAATAGAATCAAGTTAAAGAAGTAAATATATTTGAAGTGAAGTAAGGATGTTAACAGATACTAAGTGCTCACTGTGTGTTTTAAGTACTTCTTGTCTATATCTTATTTTAGTTTTAAATAACTTCATGAGGATAGGCTTACTATTCCATTTACAGAAGAAGAATTGAGGTTGAGAGAGCCTTGCTAAAAATCTTATAAACAGTAAGTCTGATCATCTAGTTTGACGTCAGAAAGCGACTATTTTTATACCCCCTTTTTACTCAAGGTTGTTTGCTATACAGTATTTATCAATTGCAGAGTTAATGAAATGCATTTAAGAAGATACCATAGGTGTTTTATCACTGTCTCACCTTATTACTTTCCTTTCTTTGCTTTTGTTATGACAATTCACTCCTATAAATCCCAGCACTTTGGAAGGCTGAGGTGGGATAATTGTTTGAGCAAAGGAGTTTGCGAACAACCTGGGCATCACGGCAAGGCCTCGCCTCTACCAAAAAAAAAAAACCTGGGCATGAAGGCTTGGCACATGCCTATAGTCCCAGCCACTTGGGAGGCTGAGGTGGGTGGCCATCTGAGCCCAGGAGGTCGAAGTTGCAGTGAGTCATGATTGTGCCACTGCACTTCAGCCTGAGCAACAGAGGAAGATTCTGACTAAAAACTAAAATAAAATAGAATAAAAAGACAGAAAAGTACAAATAATAATGTAACACACTCATGTGTCTACCATCTGGAATGAACAGATTTTGAAGAGATTAAACATAGATTCCACTTAAGTTCCCTTTGAATCCCTTTCCCATAAGACTTAAACTTTTTCATGGCAATTTTATTCAGTCAGGATTAATTTAATACCTAGGTCTATTGATAACAGCCTTTTCCAAACTTCAGATTTTGTGGTCTCCAGCAAACATGTCCAAAGATGGCATGAGACACCCTGTGATAACAGCTGCTGTATCGGTTGGCAGTACTGGTCATAAGTAGCTGTCCAAGCAGTCAAGAAAGACTCAATCTTTTTTAGATTATCAAAATTAAAATATAAGAGTAAAAATCTTTCTAATGAGCTTCTGAGCAAAAGGAATCCATGCACATCTGAAATTATAATGAGTTTTTGGTGTTTAGGTGGCATTACATTTTTGAATGAACACATGACAGAAGCTAAGTAGATTTTAGTCTGGGTGACAGAGTGAGACTC